ATTTTACTACTGAATTATCAGTAGATATATTGATCTGCATATTGATCTACTGATCTCATCATTTTTTTATATAACATAATTTTTTTGTCATGCAGGCTTCTAGGTATCAGGTATCCTAGAGCTCATAGGAAAGCAGATATTTGAGTTTTCAGACATACAAAAAATTCCGAAACATTGTGGAATATATGGAAGCTAAAGCTCTACAAGCCAATGAAATCAAATCACCCCCATGTCAGACAATCTACTAGAATCCACTGCTAACTTTATTTCATCAAACTGTTCTTATTTTTGTTATATTGAAATGATAAATTCTCGGAATGCTGAGAACAATTTCAATAATTTTCATAAGAATTAATTCTTCCCTGAGCTACTGTTTGGAATGACTGTCATCAATCTCACCTTATATAGCCTAATCAGACTTTTTTTGTACCCATGATATCTCAAGGAATCACTTAGTGCAAAACAATAACAAACCAGCAGAATCCTTCACGTCTTTATGATTCTGATTATAACGGTATATCAATCGTGATGGTAATTGAGATTCAATTACGATTGAGATGTTCTATAGCATGAATCAAAATAAACATGTAGGAGATGCAATTTGTCAATACAAATTCACTGGTAATTCTCATTAGATTGTTCGATCTTATCATTTCGTAGAGCTATTCTACCCATAATTTTAAATTTTTTTTTCATTTTTTTTCAATCAGATAACTCAAGAATCTGCTGACCAGCAGCCCGAATGCTCCCGGATACATGGTATATAAACCATGACCATGATAAAGTACGAAAAGAAATCGAAAAAACATATTTTTGTTATCTAGAATTCATTAGAAATGATTACATCATTTTTTCTACTCACATAACTAAAATGGCAATTATCGTACGGATATGTACCACGCTAAATGATCAATTAATCACGAATTGACGATCTGTGATTCGTTCGAAATATCAAAAACGTTACCATGGCAACACGATTTCTAAAACACATTATCATGGCAACACAGTTCATTGAACACAGCTTCAGTAATTTGAGACATGTCTGGCCTATCAATTGTATTAACTGTCAACTGTTATTTTTAAATTTCGTATCAGAATTATTCAAACAATATTCGTTTGTATCAGAATTCTTCATCAAAAATATATGCGAAATGTAGACGAAATTGAAATTGAAGAGAATGTTCTGGTACTTGCATATCTCCAAGAAGTGTTAAAATGAAGCAGCATCCATCTTTGAGAACAATTTATTTATTCTGCGCTATGCATGACAATAAACGTTAAACAAAGGTTAGTAAGCAATGGACTGGACACATCTACAACCAATATCACTTATACGTGTCTCGCTGGTTGCATGCAGTTGCATGTATTATGTTCTCAATTCCCATTCCTTTCGAATTATTTTGTATAGGTTAGCAGGAATAGCAGGTATGTTAATGTCATTTTCGGAGTTCGTAGAAAAAGCATAGTATGTAACGCGTTTATAAAATCTTCTAGACACTCGTTTATTGAACACTCGCTCCGCTCTGCTCCGCTCGTGTTTAAAATACTCGTTACTAAAAGGACGTTGATAACACTATTTTGTGGTTATTCTTGTAATCGATGCATAATTCATGTACAGTACCCAGAAAACCTTCGCCATAAATTGAATCATCGAAGAGAAAATTGAATGGGAGGTTCCGCCAAAATGTGATGAAAAAAAAAAGGCGAGCGAAAGTGGGGAAAAAAGTTGAGGGATAATAATAACAAAACTCCGCTTCATATGTAGGGATTACTTTTTCATAAACGTGCCTCGCTTGATCCCGGAACATCCATAATACATCCTGGATGCCACTTGCATATAAAACGCGGATTACGTATGTTAGCTACGTCTGGTCATTCCGTAGATTCGGCCTGCGATTTCTGCTGGGTTCAAAAGGGAATCGATAAAAAACGGAAAGATAAAGCTGAGAGTGCCCTCGTTTGACTCTTGAACACGAAATGAATCCCAAAACTGACTAGAAAGCTTATTTTGCATATTGAGCAAATACGTTTTTGAATAGAGACATGTATAACTGGACTTTTCTCGGTGTAGTTTATAGCGCCGTGTTGCTGAAGCTAATTTTCTGTCATTGTGACAATGTACTATTGAGCTTATACTAATTGGAGGATACCAATTCAGTAATTTTGTATGTGCCAGTATGCTATCGTAAACTTTCCTGAGTTTTTTGCTGCTGAAAAATATTGTGTTTGCTAATTCTGCTATGAAGTATGGTCTCTTCAAGGGGTGTTCTGTATTCAACTGAATTACACTCTGTATGTGAGGTCAGCATAACCAATTCCAACAAAACGTGTTATAATTTTCCAAAGGGTTTCATCCAGTCTAGCATGCAAGGACTGGTGGAAATTCTCTTTTGACATTCGCTATACTTGCTGTTTTTGTTTTTTTCTCCGCTCCCTCATCAAGGAAGTCATAATAACGAGGTAGGCGCACGTACCGAGAATAAAATCAACGCAAAAACAAATTCGAATCGTATTTCCAGCGCAAACGTCGTCGTGTCTCATTTCCTGGAATTTACGGGGCACTCCATGGGATATGAAAGCCGGCACATTTCATTCCATGCATTCGCTCATAAATATGACAGCAGCATTACTCGGAAATATGGCGAAATGACTATTTCTCATTGCACCCGTGACACTCCGAAGATTATAGGTTGAGTTACAGCATCAATTGTCAGATGGGTTCAATACCTACGTAGATTCAAGAGATTTACTATTGGGAAATTTTTGACATCAAAAATACACCAAAAAGACTGCAACGAAAAAAAAAATGGAATCGTTGAATCGAGCAAAATTCAATTGCATGAAGCAAATGAAAGTGTCATATATGCACGACGAAATATAATTTTGAAATAAGTAAATCTATATCTTGTTTCAGAGCGAATTCGAAGTTTGAATCTAGTGAATATGTCTTGCATGAACTCTGGATCTTATCTTATCGAGCTCATCCATGAATTGTTTATGAAGAGATATTGAATTGACTGAAACAATCATTCAGTTTGATTGAAAATAGCGAGATGCTGAATCAATCGAATATTTACTTGATTCGATGAAATATTTGGTTGATTCAATGAACTATTTGGTTGATTCAATGGAATATTTAGTCAATTCAATGAAATATTTTGTTGATTCAATGAAATATTTCATCAATTCAAGGAAAACTGTATTCCCATTCGACAAATTGTTTTGTTGAACCGAATTCAGTATTAATTCGAGAATTCTCTGAAATTTCACAACAATAGAATGGACTAAACTATAGTGAACTAGTCGACTTCTAGCATAGATCGAGAGATTCTGCGCTTGACGAAAGAACCTGTATGAAAGTAGTAAGGAATTCGTCAGAAAACGAAGGAAGGAGAAAAATTATACTTCGTTCAATCATTCTAATCAAGGAACGAGTGGAACATATACGAATAATGGACACTTACCTATCTATACCTATACCTTCCAAAGCGTTCATCGAATGAATACGACTGGTCAAATCGTCACTGATGAAGAAAGGTGTTGTACAGGTCACAAAAATGGTGATAAGTGATGTGTATAGTTATGATTCCAAGAATGATTGATATCAAGGATCTTAGCAAGTTTCCGATGATATGAAATGGAAAACACCGCAGTACAACTATGTTACATGAATATATAGAGCTCAGAGTTTGTTCCTGTTCGGATATACACCTTCACATATATTCAACTCACTCTCGCAGATTGTCCTCAGATGTGAAATGTTGCATTGGTATGAAGATAATACCTAATCATTATTATATCTTTGACTCAGTACACTTGAGTCTCAAACACTTCACTATTGAAGAACCACTATTCAATGCACCGTCTTCGGAAGAAACAACAGCGGCAATGGCAAATGGCGCCTGACGACTGACAAGTAGAATAGGCGCTGTAAATACGTCACTGCAAGTCTGTTAGAAGAGCAGAGAGTTCCTTGGACCAATATAAACTGTAATTTATGTCACTAGTAGTCGCGGTTTCCTTGAATGGAGGAATATGCTGTTTATTATTCCAGATTTTTTTGAGATTTTCTCTCCTCGTCTCAATTGAATGGAAGTATGAATACAATTTCAATATACGTGTAGTAGGGACTAATCAGATGATTTTCCTCAACGAACAATCGTGAAAAAAATGTATTTACAGTATACCTGGTGTTCGTAGAAAGTTTTATACAGGGGAAACCAAGATACCTCTTTCAGTAGGGACGAAGGAACATAAATACAATATAGACGAAAGACACATCGACATATCGAAACTGGCTGAACATATCCTAACTGAAGATGGACATCATATGACACAGTGGAATGATATTGAAATAATAGAAAGAACATGGTATTCATCTACTGAATTCTGGAAATGGAGATGGTAAATTCAAGATTAATCAATGAAAACAGCCTGTAACTCATTTGATTGCCAACGTCACCAATTGTCACTGAGAATTGATGAGTTTCAGGACGAATACGAAGTTGCCAAACAGAAAATCAATTCTTTGTGATGAAAACGGAAAAAAATTCTCTCCGGAAACGTCAAAGGATGGGTAAATATTTGATATTTCCTCTATATTCCGTTTATTTTCTTCTCCAAACCATTTTCAATATAGATTGTCACTGACAAGGTAGTGCATTTTTCTTTCAGGCTCTGTGATTGGGGAATTCTTTGAACGCAGTGACAGTTCATAGCAGATCATCTGATTTGTCCCAACTACACGTATATTGGAATAGTATCCATATTTCCATTTTATGGGGACTAGGAGAGAGAATCCCAGAAAAATTCTGGAATAATGAATGTATCACTTCCACAATTTACCTACAGACAGTATTTATGCTGTTTATGTTGAGCAAATCCATGGTTTCCAAATTATGCTCGAATTGTGGGCAGGTGCTACTCAACTACCAAACCTCTGAAATTTTGTATTTGTCGTAGTTTCTGAGAATCTTGATCGTTTTTTTCGAGCGACTCACCTGCCTCGAAGGTCTTCATGGAATCGGTGGGCAGCCACCTGGACCACATCTTACCCAGCTCTTCCCTCAGAAAGGGATCGTCGTGCCCTAGGGCCGGGAACACGAACTGGGAGCTGAAGGTCTTGCCCAGCAGGTCGGTGAGGTTTTGCAGCAGCTCCAGCTGCCTGATCTCTGGCAGGTGTCTGGCTGCGTGGGACAAGCCGTCTCTGCAAAACAAAACAAAGAGTCAGAACATATCGACATGAATATTTCAAAAACCACAATGAATTTTTTTCGTTTTTGAATGTATGATGAATTAAAATCCATCATAGAGGACGTGGAAAGACATTCTGGATTGAGAGAACCTAATCACGATTCTGCGATTGAGGTATTAAAAAATACCAAGTTTCCATCGTTCAAGTTTGTACCCCTTGATTGGATGTAAGTACCGAGAAGGTATATCCTCAGATACATTTATGAACACAAAAAAATAGTAGATTGTTTTATTAGGATCAAAAGTGACACTTTGTTTGACAAGCGAATTTTGCATTTGCGAGGCGGAGCGTTTAGCGAAGCCGAGCCCAATCTAAGAAAATGCAAATTCTTCACTTCAGAAGATTTTGTTCTCAAATTCTTATCGTGTGTGTTCAATAGATGTAATTCAATGTTCGTCGTGGCATATAGCCAGGAAAGTGAAAGTAGTTGTTTTCTGTTGAATAATCCGAGAAAGAATTGATATTATGATAATTGATATCGAATGTTCCTAGGGGGCCCTGAATTGAATACAATGAGAATAAATAACGTGTTCCTTTTGAAATAACTTAGTCATCCTCAATATCTGAAGAACTGTTGATTTGGCATCATGACCAATAACATAATTGAATTGAGAGTCATCAAGTACCATCCTGTTTGAAATTTCATGAGTTTTCTCACAGAGCCGTTCTTGAAATATGAGGACGTTCCCAGATTTTTGAAAGACTCTGTATATGGAATTATTCAACTATGCGCAACTATGCATAACTTCACTCTTATTCAAAGCTGTATGAGTTCCGAAGGAGACAACCAATTTCAATTCTATTTTTAGTTCCTGAAAATTTTTTCATTTGGTATCGGGTCATTGAAAGCAATCTCCAAATATCTATGTGAACGAGTAATCACAGGGTGATCAATGGAAATGTGCCGAATCACCTCAATCTGGAAGTTCTCCTGATTGAAGAAAAAACTGTTTTCTACCCAAATAATACCAAAACTTCATCACTTGGAGAGTTTTCTAGAAATTGATTAGTTATTCTTCAGGAAGCACTTCTTGGAATCAAAAGACAATTTTTTTTACAATACTCTGCGGATTTTGGTGTTCCTATATTTGTCTAACGTGAAACTGACAAGATTCGCTATGACTTTTCTCATAGTTCAGAAAAAAAAACAGCATTCCGAACTCGAATTTGGAATTACATGAGATTGTTATCATTGAAAATTTACTCTCGACTCGGACTGATTAGATTGAAATGAATCTGATTATTTCCAAATTGAATATGAGTTGTATTCACTACGTTATCACGATAAGGATTTTGGTTTTCATGAACTCCTTGTTGTTCCTCCACGAATATTGAAAGTTTTCGTATTCTGTGACCTGATCATAGAATCATCTACATCAATTACACGAGTGGTGGTGATTTTCTGATTATTCCAATTAGATGAACGAATCATTGTTGCCCACTCGTAAGATTTCTGAATAGCAATAAACACGAGTTTCAATCTGGTTAAAATCATTGAAACAAAACTAACTACCACGAATGTAATTCAGCGTCATAATTTTTTGAACCATTTTGCGAAATGCCCATGCATTGAAAAAAATATTCGAAAGCCACAAATTCCGGTTGAGCTTCATTTTTGTTCGAACAGACTATGTCATTTTTCATATATTCATTGAAACGAAGATCCAAACGAGGAAAAAAAAACATCGCTGTAATTTGCTACTAACAAATCATCAGTATAAAACTGAATGATTGTCCTTGAGAATCACACATTGATATTGGTTGAAACAACGACAACGTCACATTTTGACTTGTGGAAAAAAACTCCTAGATATTCAGTTAGAGATTGTCTAGCAATCGATAGAAACATCTGCTTCTTTGTTTGAACTCAAGGTTATCGCCTCCGAATATCAGGTTACTAAAAAACAATACCGTGATTCAAATTTGCCCATCAATTAGGTATACAAACTCCCTGAAAATTTGCGTTTTCCGCGATAATTTTTCGAGAACAACCCGACAGGCTGAATTATAAATGTATCCCAGCAGACTTGACTTCATAAGCAATTATGAAGTTTCCCGTCTGCAATCTCGAAACAAAAAACTCCGAGAAAAAAAATATGCCCGAATTTTCCTCCATCAGATTGAAAAATTGTACGCGACAAACATTTTAACGAGTTTCACCCTGCGAATGAATCTGAGGAATCACAACAAGCATCAAACCAAACCGAAGTTTCCTGCAACTTCGGTTAGCGGACGATTTATGGCCGAGGGAAAACAAATGGAAACTTCCATTTCCAACTCCGGGCAAACACGTTCAACATACGAAAACTCTTTATCTATGGATGATGCCAAATAATGTGACGTTTGACTTGAAACAGTCAAAGCTATAGCTTCAGGGTTAGGTGGAGAGGAGCTGAAGGAATGCGTGGGATTGGAGTGGTAGCAAAGGCGTCGATTTTTTAATCACTATACAGTGTGTCCATTTAGTGCGTAATTCTTCGATATCTCGAAAGCCATAACCTATAGAGAAAAACTTTGAAGAAAAAACTTTTTCAGTTACCAAAGTTAATCATTTCAAAATTATTTTCAACATTACTGGGTGTTTTATAAAAGCAGGGCAACTCGAAGAAGAGTTTATTCAAATGGAACACCCAGTATTGTTCATTCGGAATGAATTCCGCCGAGATTCACCTTCAAATCGCTGTAAAAAAATTTGAAATCGGTTGCGGCGTTGTCAAGTTATAATTGATAAATCAATTTTCACCATTATTGAAGAGTCATGTTGAATTGGGCATGGTATATTCATTCATTCAAATTTTGAAAATATTTTTGGCTCACGGTAGGAGCAAGGTCCCACGTATACCAATCCAGTAATTTTGCGACATGTTCTTTAACAGGGTGCTCAATTTTGCATTTAGAATTTTGCAAGATTCAGATGACATCAGAATTTTTCAAATAGAACACCCTGTATTTTTATTGAAAAATCCATTCCGACATCTCTCGCCTTTTTATCGCTGGAAAAAAATCGGGATCGGTTGCGGCGTTGTCAAGTTATGGTTAATTTCCTTATTTTTACCACTATTTCGGGGTAATTTGTACGTCATAGTTCTTTCATTTATTTGTATTGTGGAAATATTGCGTTGCTACGGTATAATCTAATTTGTTTATTGACCATTCATATATTAAATTACAAAAGGAACATTCTCAGGCTCTCCAAGTTTGAATTTTTTTCGATATATTTGTGTAATGACCTGTCAAACATCGCCACAATCAAATATATCTTGGATTGATTAAACATTTTGCTGAATTCCTTCCCAAAAGTCGCGTGGTAGAGGATTGTGGAAATAACGACAATAAAAATGACCCAAATTTCAAAAAACTGTCCTAATTTTCGCAATCCGCATCTCCATTGTTTGTATTGTAGAAGTTGTTTCAAAGACAGGCATTGATTTTGGCATGTTTGTTTGTTTCACATATTATTCGAATCATAAGTAACAAGATTATGGAATTTTTCAAATTTGGACGATGCACATATCACAAAAATACCTGAATGATCTATGTAGAACCTCGCATGTCATGTGGCAAGCAATATTCCCACACTCAAATCGAATTAAGGAACCATCATGACGTACAAATCACCCCGAAATAGTAGTAAAAATAAGGAAATTACTCATAACTTGGAAACGCCGCAACCGATTTTGATTTTTTCTCCTGCGATGAAAAGGCAAATGATGTCGAAATGAATCTGTGATGAAAAATACAGGGTGTTCTATTTGAAAAATTCTCATGATCGTCGTCTGAATCTTACAATATTCAGAATGTAAATTTTAGAACCCTGTAGGAGATTATCTCGCAAGATTACTGGATTGGTATACGTGTGACCTTGCTTCTACTGTATGCCAAAAATATTTTCGAAATTTGAATAAATAAATATACCATACCCAATTGAACATGACCCTTCAATAGTAGTAAAAATGGGTTTATCAATTATAACTTGGCAACGCCGCAACCAAATTCAATTTTTTTCACAGCGATGTAGAGCTGAACTTAACCGGAATAAATTTCGAATGAACAATATTGGGTGTTCCATTTGGAAAAACTCGTCTTCGAGTTGCCCCACTTTTATAAAACACCCAGTATTGTTGGAAATATTTTCGAAAGGAGCAACTTCAGTAACTGAAAAAGTTTTTTCTCTAGAGTTTTTCTCTTGTGATATTTGATTTCGAGATATCGAAGAATTACGCACTAAATGGAGTATGGACACACTGTATAGAAGGTTTATTCTTCTTTACTCAAGTAAGAAATCACAAAGAGGATACAGTGCTCCTGTCGTATTCAGTATTGGATGAATAAGGTCGCCATGCATTGAAAAATACCGATAAAGTCATTTTTCCTACATGCATCATTCTGTATGTATCAATTGAATTAGGAAGAATGCTCGCATGAAGATGAAATGTGACGGCATACAGTGTTCTTTCCGAGAATTATTTTCATAATTTTTCACGAATTCATCCGATACACCAGAGCACTGAATTTAACGGCGCACTGTATGAATAAACCGTATGTGTGATATACTTCGAAATTCAGATTTCCATAGACTCCAAAAATCTCTTGAAATATATAGGCTGTTCTACTTGAGGATATAGTCGCAGATTTCACTAGTCAAACAGGGATCACCCTGAATATTCGTTATTTCCCCATAAATGTGTTGAATCAAGATTAAAATTAAACCCGTTTTGGGAAATTCGTTTAGCTGAATCTCAATCAATTTCTTCCTACATCAAGAGCTTTTATTCAACTTGCTATGTTTGTGTGTAAGTATGTTTGTTCGGTTAGAATCTTCAAATTCAATTCTGAAGTAGATATCCTGATTATTATTCAATTAAATCGATTTATCAAAACACAGAACTCAGCGATTCACTAGTGTATTAGAACTAGTACATGAGCATAGTTTGGTAACTTGAAACAAGTCACAAAATGTCAATAGTTTCGTTGTTATCAATAACAAAATTCGAAGTATACGCTATCGCAATTTGCAATGGGGATATACAGGAAGTGCCATTTGAGAATGAAAAATATAGGGTAGCTGCCAGAGAAATGTCAAATGTATTAGTTTTCTTATGTCAATAAGAAGCTGATTCAATGCCATCCACTGCACATGATTTTCATGATCATCTCTCTGAATAAGCGAGATATTGACTGTGTTCTATCAATTGGGACACCTGGTATTGACCACTAGTCAATAGAGACAGACATAGCCAGCTCTGTCGAAATCAACCCGTGTTCTGATAAGAGATTCGCAGAAGTGGCACTCGAATCTAGTAGGCAAATTTCGATTAGGATTGAAAAGGAGTGCTCACCTTGTATCACCTTGGAGCAACATATTATACATTTTTGGACTCCTCAGCAGAAGAAATCCGAAAATTGAAAAAAAAAGAGGAGGTTTCATCCAAATGTTGATGTCGTTACACGAAAGTGGTTCACCCTGTGAATATACATCTAATAAGATGATGATTCAAAATAATAGTGAATTGAAATGAAAAATGGATGTGTTTCAGGAATTTTCAATTCTATTTGTTTATTTAGCCGATAATGAATTTATGCGTCACAAATTGATGCAACGAATCTTTCTCTTCGTGTATCACAGATAGTAATTTATGCAACAAGGGCAGAAAATGTTCATCGCACGTGTTGCATACAATATTTTTTTTACGTTTATGCAAAAATCAAATAGTTATTTATTATACAAGGGAAAAAAGTTGTAGATTTCAGCTCCAGGTTGTGTTGCCTCCCAACGCGTAGCGAAGAGATACAAAAAACCGTGAGCTTAAATCTAATATTTTTTCATAATTTTTTGTGACAGAAGGAAGGACGAATCAATATTGAAAAGATATTACATTACTCTGAAATCTGAAAATTATCGACGTGAAATTTCGAGTTTTTAACAGTAGGGACACCTGCGTTGTAGGCATCTTTATCATTCTTTTGAAGTAATCAAATATCTGATGTCACTTCTGTCAGTCTAATTATGTGATTTGATTCCAGAAAATTGCGAATTTAGTGGTTGTTTAGTAATATACGTAACCGCGAAGTCGAATGGGAGATAAAAGGATTTGCAATTCGGAGACGGTATTATTGACTCATTTTTTCACAACAAAAGCTATCAACAGTATATAATAATCAATTACCGTTTCTAGATGTTATTATTGAAAAATCAAATAACATCTTTGTAACGAGTGTTTATCGTAAAAAGACCCATACTAACAGATACTTGAACTTTCAATCAAATCATCAGAAAAGTATTAAGAAAGGATTAATCAAATCACTCCATGATAGAGCCAAATCAATATCATCTGACCAACAAATTCTCAATAACGAAGTCCACCACATTAAAAATGTTCTCCAACTCAATTCTTATCCAAAGAATTTTGTCGATAGGACGATTCATCAAATTGAAAACAAACAGGGTCAACCACAACAAAATCAACCATCAATAACGACAAATATAATACCATACATTCCCGGCATATCTGAAAAAATAAAACGTGTTGGTGATAAATTTCAAGTGAAAACTGTGTTCAAAACTGAAAATACAATGAGATCAATTCTAACTCAAACAAAGCCGAGAAATGAAGAACAATCGTCAAAAAATTGTATTTACAGTATACCTTGTGTTTGTGGAAAGTTTTATACAGGTGAAACCAAGAGACCTCTTTCAGTAAAGACGAACGAACATAAGTACAATATAAAGAAAAGAAACATCGATAAATCGAAACTAGCTGAACATATCCTTACTGAAGACGGACAACATATGGCAGAGTGGAATAATATTAAAATTATTGGAAAAGTAGATAACAACCAGAAGAGAAAAATCAAGGAATCTGCTTGCATTCTTCTGAACGGAGACTATAGCATTGCTAAGAACCGGTCCCGAAACGTCCAATGATAAGTGAAAATTTGATTTTTTCTATATACCTTTATTTCCCTTCTCCAAAAATTTTTTCAATACAAATTGTCACTGACAAGCTAGTGAATTTTTCTTTTAGGCTCTCTGATAGGAGAATTCTTTAAACGCAGTGATATTTTGTCCTTACTACACGTAAATTGAAATAATATTCATATTTTTATTCTATAGAAACGAGGAGAGAAAACCCCAAAAAATTTGGAATGAGTATATTTATGTGATATATATCCGGGAAGGAAGTACTCACTTGTTTCCCACGGGAAAGAAGTTATTTATGAAAAGTGAAATTTTATAACGTGCCAACAGAGATGAAATGCCAAACTTTTTTCCCGTCACAGAAAAAACGTTTTTTATTTGTATAAAGACAGGAATATAAATGAAAGCGTAAATTGATGAACTCACCCTGTCCAAAGCACGAATTCAATGTTGTCGTTCTGTCTGGCACTCATCGCGTGTGCCGCAGACTCTATCAGCTCCCAGGTAGAGTCGCAACTGTAGTCCCCGTAACGTCCCATGGGCTTCCTGGCGCCCTTGGAGGGCTTGATGCCCTCGTAGTCCGGTCGCCAGCAACCTGGAGTGTAGAAAGTCATACTCAGGTGAAGAAATAAAGGACAAGACTTCATAGTCTAACCCCAGTTTTAGAGATTCTATAACATAACGCATCGCGAGTTCTTCAGTTACACAATAGGAGATGAAATATTGGATTTTTTTAGTACTATTTATAGAATGTCTTTACGCAAAACACTGATCGTGGCTGCAACGCGAGAAATGCCAATTTCCCCTATGATTTATAAATACCGTAACGCACCTCATCATTATAAATCAACATTCCGCAATTGGTACCGTTAGACGGCGAAGTGGCATTTCCACGCCGGAGGAAGTAAAAGTTAGTTTTTAGAGTTACAGTAGTGTTGTATTATTCCCTAGGGAGATAATGTGACATATTTTCTCCCTAGGGAGTTCATACCAACTTCACATTTTCCGCATAGCTCTACGCTTTCTTTCCGGAAAACCCTCCTCTGAAGCGAGTATAAGCTGCATCATTCATACTTCTAGATCTTACTAGTAGCAAATTGAGAATCACTGCACAATCAATGTCAATAGTTCCTTGGGGTTCTGCCTAGATTTCTTGTTCCATAATCGTTAAACAATTCCATAGCTGTTTTCATAAGTTTTAGTTTGATATTTGCAGTCACCATGGGTTATCAACAAGATGCATGTTGTCAAGATACGAATTCCACAAACTATAATTCCACTAATTATGTCAAAACATTGAAAAGGAATATTCTCAGATATATTTATGAACACTGAAAAATTCGCATTCCCCATGTGATGAAAATATGAATTCTTATTCGGTTTATTCAACAGAAAACAACTACTGTCCTGGCTATATGCCACGACGACTATTGAATTATATCTATTGAACACACACGATGAAAATTTGAAAACAAAATCTTCTGAAGTAGGGAATTAGCATTCTCCTTCATATTAAAGATATGCGTATAATATCAATCTGAATTGATGTACTACCTCGAGTCCTGTCCTCAATTCAATCAATGAATAAGCAAGAGCTCGGCCTCTGTTGCCAGAAAACTCTCAATGTGACAATGAGAAGGAGACATATTTGATCTTGAAGTAATTGTATTATCCAGTAAGTAATTGACCCTGATAAAATAGGATACATAATTTGTAATGTAAGCGTAAAAATGGCAATAAGAAAGTCGAATGCCTTCAGTGGATATAACATTCCTCATTTATTTATTTATTGATTTTTTGTTTTGTTATGTGGCAAACAGAGCTCCTCCGGAAATCCTAACCTGATAATTTATGATCAAATTGATATTTTGACATTTCAAGAATTCATGATTGTATTGAGTGAAGATTCAGAATAGGTATCGTTCGTGTTGAATAAAATTCGTTTTAATCTTTTTCCTTGTCAAAGCCACACATCTTCATTAGATGCGAAACATTGCGTGCAAAGCCCTAGGGAAGAACAGCATGTATAATACTATCGTTGATAACGGTTTAATTACTTTTGTTTGGGAATTTTCCGTCTGCTGTTTCTTCCACAGGAAGTAAATCAGGATGTTACTCATTTTTAGAGAATCCTCAACTTGAATAATTTGGTGAGGAAGCTATTTGAAAAACAAAATTGGATTGAAAATTCTTCTGAAAATTCGCATTTTCATAACAATCAATTCATCATCTCGATTTCCCAGTAGAAAAACGGGTTCAGATGATACAAAAATGATAGTTTGGTACACATTGATGAACATAATTCGAGACAGAAGCAACATTCCTTGGAAAAGCAGCAATCTGAAGAAAAAATATGGGAAATACCTCAAAATAAAACATTTTCACACCTTTTTTTACGAAAAAGAATTACTTGCCATGATAGAAGGAGAATAACTGCATTCACATTGTTCTCAATAGGCATCAATGCATTGATTTATATTTTCAATATCTGTTATCAGTGGCCCAGTAAATATTTCCAGATTCGAGACTCTGTATAACAGTACAATGCGGTCGACAGCTGGTACCAGTGCTGTGTGTACCCAGCAATTATTGCGTTGAAAAACAGGATTACATCCTTTACTAACGAATTCGAACTGATTAATAACCGTCGATAAGTCGACCCAAGATGCTATTGCGTATTTAACATCAAAGATATCAAAAAGTTTGGACATTGGAAGAAAATCTGCTTGTGTATTTTTAGATCTTGCTAAAGCATTCGATACGGTCTGCCACTCAAAACTATTAGATATTTTGGAGGACTTGGGATTTCGAGGGGTAGCTAGAAAATTAATTGAAAGCTACCTAAGCGACAGGAAACAACAGGTATCACTCAATGGTAGTTTGAGTACGGAGTGCACTGTTGAGTATGGCGTACCGCAAGGAACCGTACTAGGTCCAGTGCTCGTTATACTCTAAATAAATGATCTTTTTAATATTGAATCATCTGGAGAAGTCATCAGTTTCACAGATGATACCGCCATAATTTTCGAAGCTGAAAATTGGGATAATTTGAAAACCATCATAGAGAATGATTTGAAACTTATCAAAAATTGGTTCGATTATAAGGTACTGACAATTAATTTCGAAAAAACATTTTATATGCCTTTTTCATGAGAATGAGGCAGACCGAGACGATTAAATATATAGGAGTAACTATCGATAAACATCTAAGATGGAACATACATATCCTGAAACTATGCAATACCCTGAGAAGTATCTTATACCGATTCAAATATATCTCCAAATTTTTCGAAGAAAACATCTCAGAATGATTTATCACGCATTGGTTGAATCTAGATTGACATATGGGATAATAGGGTGGGGATGTGCACTAAAAGAACATATTAAAAATCTGGAAGTTCTTCAAAAAACCTCTTTGAAAATTTTACTAAACAAACCCTCCCGATACTCATCTGATTTGATATACTCCGAATCTAAAATCCTTGACATTCGTCAACATTATTTTTTTATATCATCCTGCTTTGAATTCAAAGCTAAATCTAATCTAAAGAGACTAGAACATTCTTACGGAACAAGACACAAATCAAAATATTTCAAAACACCGCTTGCTTCAAAATCCATAGGACAAAGATGCTTTTCGTATTTAGTACCAAGATTTTTCAATTTTATTCCTGTCGAAATGAAAGAGACATCTTCTCATAGAGGGTTCAAGAAAAAGCTAAAAAAATATTTACTTAATAGATAGATAGATAGATATTCAATTAATATTAGTAGCTGTATAAATCAATAGATTAGGTATAGGTTTTGTGGGGATGCAGCTGATGTGGGACTCAAAAGAAAACTCTTTTTACTTTTGAGAAAGCTTTCGGAATTTATTTAATTCCTTCGTCAGTCTCTCTAATATACTGTAAGTAATTTTTAATACCCATTTCTTCTGAATATTATAATTGTGCATTCCATTTTAGAGAGACTGACGAAGGAATTAAATAAATTCCGAAAGCTTTCTCAAAAGTAAAAAGAGTTTTCTTTTGAGTCCCACATCAGCTGCATCCCCACAAAACCTATACCTAATCGATAGATAGATAGATAGATTTATTTGACTATGTAACTCATACAAAAATGGTTTATAGCAAGTCAGTTTAAAAGCACACATGTATTGAAATATTATATAAAGACAAACGAACAGAACGCTGAAATACACAATAATGAAAAGAATACAAAGATAAAACAAACATAACATTACAAGATAGCATCCTCGATCGTATCACAAGTACATAAAATTCATAAAATTGAAGTTTGATTAAATTCATCAACCGAATAAAAACAATATCTGAGAAGGTGTTTCTTCACAGTATTTCTGAAGCATATTTCATTCATAGATTTGACCTGATTTGGTAATTTATTGTAAAGCTTAAAGTTCAGCGAATTTTTCTCAGTTTTGACTAATCTATAGCGAGGCACAAGTAAATCATTTGCATCAGCAGACCGTGTGTTGTGATGATGAAGGCTAGAAACTTTTGGAATGCTCAGCCTTCTGGAATGAATTTCTCTCAAATTTTGAAAGATGTAAATACATGGAAGAGGTAAGATTCCTAACTGCTTGAATAAAGGTTGGCAGTGCTCTCTATAACCAACCCCTGCTATTAATCTTATTGCTCGTTTTTGTAACCTAAAAATTTTCATAGCTTCAACTGAGTTACCCCACAGAACAGTGCCATAGCTGATCAAAGAGTGAAAAAGGCCAAAATATACATGTTTCAACATCGTCTGATGCAAGCATTGTCTGAGTTGTCTCAGCAGAAATAAAACACTGGCTAGCCTGGTACTAAGGGAATCCACCTGATGTGACCAATTCAGAGAGTCATCTAAAATAATTCCAAGCAATTTACAATGGTTCCCTGCCGTGACTTGACTATTGCTGGAAATCATGAGATTCTGATTTTTTTCTCTATTCAGCTGTAAATTATTCGCAGAAAACCAAGCCTCAGCTTCGGTCATTAAAGTTTCTGCATGATCTAGTAGAAGTGAAATATTAGTGTTTGAACTAATCAAGGTTGTATCATCTGCAAAAAGGACAATTTGACACTTCTTCATCATATGATAGCAGAGGTCATTAATGTATATGATGAAGAGCAGTGGCCCCAGAACGGATCCTTGAGGAACTCCATGATGCACATTTCTCAGTTCAGATTTAGAGTTATTATCCAGGTGTACATATTGTTGTCTACCCTCTAGATACGATCTGAACAATTCTAATGGTGTGCCTCTTATTCCATAGAATGAGAGTTTTTCTAACAGGAGTTCATGGGAAACACAGTCGAAGGCCTTAGAGAGGTCGCACATGGTCAACAATGAATGTTCATGTCTCTCCAGATCTTCGACTATGTTTTCCATAATTTGAAGCAGAGCATGTGTTGTGGATCTTTTACTTCGAAAGCCATATTGTGCAGAGTGCAGTATTTCAAACTTTTCGAAATAACTTAAAATAATCTAACTTTCAGTAGAATTTCAATAACCTTGGAAAAAAC